TTAAACTGAAACACTGACATCTTGTACAATTTAAATGTAGCCTCTGTAAAATAGCTGCTTTATATGAGTAGTTTATCATAACCAGAACGACAGTATATGAAGTTGCATTTTCTGGATGGGTAGGTTATCATAAGTGTGACCTGATGATGCACTACAATCACACACCAAAAACAGATAACTAACCAAGTGATAATGAGTTATTTCTGGCTCAATACAAAAGCCTTTACTTTCTGTACAGCATGGTGATTTTTTAGTCCATTAAATCATACAGCACATAAGAACACCTTTATGACCAGGCACTGCACTATAGCTATTACTCGTTTACTATATCTGATATATTTTACATTTGTTTAATTTACGTCTGCTTTTATCATCAGCTAGCTACTTTTTATTAGCATATGACCAGTGGTCATATCAGTATGTAAGAACATAAAGATAATCTACTGTTCTGCAGGACACAAGTGCACCTTTGGGTATTCTCCCAGCCTCACCGTACCCTCACACCCCACTGCACATCACCCTCCCCACACTGCCACATCAATAAATGAATCTTGCACGCATCCAGGTGACCATGTTTTTTTGCTTTTCACTCTTGTATGTTAATAAACCAGGAAGGCTCTTGGATGCACCTCCACACTTACCACATTAACACTGACAAAGCAGCCTGTGCCAAGCAAGCAAGACAAACGGCTGCAGTAAATTCACAGCTTGACCTTCGGCGGCCTCGAATGGCAACAGAGCTGAACAAATGTATTTTTCATGGAAGGCATGTTAGAGCACAAGAAGAACAAACCAGGACAGAAAATTAATGCTCATCAGGCATTGATTCTCTTGTCTGAGGGGTAACTGATATTAGATTTAAAAACCCCTTTCTAAAACCAAATAATGGCAAGGTTTCTTTAGATGAAGTAGAGGAAAACGTGAGATGCTGCTGCAGCAGCTGGGTGTATTCAATGAGTCTCTGTAATGATGCAACTTAAAGCTCTGTGCACCTTTCAAACAGTGAATGCTCTAAGATGCCGAGCTCATGAGCAATGAAAAAAGAACTGTCAGAACATTATGTTGCTGAGTTTAAAATTAATCTGATTCTTGCTAAACATACAGTACTACTGGTACACAAAGTTCCCAAGGATGTGCACATCAGCTTTGGGCAAAAGTTTAAATCCTTGAACAATTTTGCTGAACAGCTGCAATTATCTATCTCTGAGTCAAACTATGTGTGCAACTCTTTTTTTTTCTAGCACATTCAATCACTAATATACTCCCAGTGTAATTACAAAACTAGGTCCGTGCACATAGCCCTTAGAAACACATGTGTGCATTTTATGAGAGGAGCTTTAAGCAGACTGGCTATTCATGGTGCCCCTATAACAGGGAAGGTTTCACTGTCTTGCTCATGCATAGTTCAGCAAGGATTAACAACAGCTGTGAAGTGTGAACCTGACGGAGGATCAAACCTGTGACTTACTTGCTTACTAATAATCAGGTCACTGTGCTGCACTGCCAGCAACTTCTAGTCGACCCCCACAGGGAACACAGGTGTTGGAGATGAGACCCGTCCGCTCCGAGCATTGAAGTGTTGAATGCAAATTATGAATTATGGAGAAGTGTTTCAATATTTAAACATGTAGGCAGTTTTTTTGAGGTTTTGCATTTAAATCCAAATATCCTGCAAGATTTCTATCAGGCATTGTTGACTTATGAAAGATTCATGTGGTCTATGATTTTTTGTAGTGCTTACAGGGCTTTTATTCAGGTACCTATTTATATTTAAATGTATAGGTCAAAGTCCCTAAAGACCTAAAGGAACATTTGTCTGTATCTACTTGATCATAACATACCCATGACTCTGGTTTCATTTACATTTTAAACATTTGTTATTCACTTAGACTTAAAAGTGAATACATGGTATGAAAAGACGTGTGAAGAAACAATCTTAGGAAAAGGTTTTCTACTCCTTATTTGCCACTGTTCATTGTTAAAGCAACGGAAAGAAACATTTCACCTTGTTACAAGAAGCATCCTGTCAGTTCCACTCCCTGCAGTTGGTTAAGTCCACTCTGCAACACCTGCCACTCATTTTGATGAGCTGTCTACCTGGAAACAGTATCTAGCACAAGGCTGCGGAAACAGCCATCAAAAAAGCCACAACAGGTATGAATGAAACAGATGGTGAGCACAGGCACATTTGAAAAGAAACAGCAATGACTTTTTTTTACCTCCATCCACCGTTGTTGCGGTGAAGTCCTTGAGCTGCATGGTCAAAAACCTGCCCACAGTGAATGAATTCCAGGCTGAAATGTCTTGGATTTCATTAAAGACCTAAAGGAAAACAGAGATGATGCATTAGTGCTCAGTGGTTAGTACAAACAGGTGACGAATTAAAGGACAAACTAACATAAAGCATCTCAGTAAGGTGCCTGGCCACCGCATGCCTCCAGTACAGTTTCAGTGCTCCTTGGCATTGACTCTCCAAGTCTCTGGACTCTACTGGTGGAATGAACAACATTCTTCCAAAAGATATTCTCTCGTGCGGTGTTTTGATGATGGTGGTGGAGATACTGTCTGCATTTGTTATATTTATTTTATGTTTGATATAATGTTGGTCACCCTTACATCCGTATTGCTATTTTCTATTGACAAGGGCCAGAATTTGCCAGACTGTGGTACCTTTCATTCTAATTAGACAAATTTGGTGTCATAATTTTTCCACAGCATGCTGCTAGCATACCAGTGGTTACAGCCAGGCAATTATGACTAAACATTCATTGTTGGTTGCAGGCTGTTCTCAGCTGGGTCCTGAAAAATTAAATGGAACCTCACAGAGGAGATGGGTTATCTCTTACAGTGAACAGTCTGGAACAGTCTGTGCAGAGGTGTAGTGCTACTTGATGAATTACCTATCATGCGTGCACATGCAGTTTACATACATTAAAGTTAGCCAGCGCGATAAAATGTTAGAGTGACTTTATTCTCTGGTGTGGCAGAATAACTGCATGAATTAGTAGCCATTTGTCAGAGGGTGAATGCTACGGTCAAAGATAATCTTGTATATTCATGTGAATTAATGAGAAAGCAGTAACATTAATTTATTACTGCCTTTTAGCTGTTCCTAACATGAAACAATGTGTTTGCTGCTTTTTCTTTATTATGAATTAACATTAGCGAACAACACAGCTACTGTAAATTCACCATGGTTGTGATATGTTTTGTATGTTTGAGTATTATTTTGATGTATATGAA